CTGTGTCTAAGTGCTAGACTTGACTAACTTGGAATTTATTTATTTCAAATGGCAGGCGTTTTGATAGCTATCATTAACCATTTAGCTGACTTCGGGCTTCACAGAGGGAAGGTTCATCAAAGTAGCAGAAAGTCGAGGGGCGGGGAACAGAAGAGCGATTCACAGATGTAAAAGAGGCAGGCAGACACAAAGGTAGAGAAAAAGGTAAGACGAGTCCTGTGGAAGGGGTCGAATATGACAAGCAGTCGGGCCATGGTAGTTTGAAGTGAGAAGTCAACTGCCAGTCAATAGCCTTTTTGCCATATGAGTATACGTTGCCCAGGGTGCTCCACGAGGAGGTAAGTCTATCGCACATCCCACATCATGTAAGTTAACTTTCATTATAAGTATTTTTGCTACATTAACTAGGAATTATTCTTTTAAAACTGATTTCAACTCATTCGGTTGATAGAATGGCTTGGCATCTAAGTCGTAACTCGGAAAAAATCTCAGATTGATGTCTCATCCAGTCGTGACAGGTTTCCTTTATAGTTTGGCAGCCTTTATACAAGGATTTGTAACTCAACTGAGATAAATCAACCCACCGCACTTTGCTTCAGAAATACCTTTTTAGGAAATATTCCAAATATCTTTAGAGGTCATCACCCAGAATTTTCATCGAATTATGCACGTACTATGCCATTCATACACTTAACACAATCAAGCAATCGTTAACTGCACACTCCTATTCCATCTTGCCCATAATACATTCAAAATTAGGGCATAAAAAAAGATTAAGGCTACATGACACAATTATAACCAATTTTGGCAAAACAAGTGAGCAAATCAATAAAGTGGTACGAATAGAGAGTGCGAAAGGTCATTAGAAATGAAGACAATTCCAGAGGAAATTGCGATAAAGTGTGTAGGCAGGAAGTGGCTTGTCCATGGGCACCATATGTCCTGCACCACGAACAGTTGAGAAAGTCAAAGTTGTGTTGGAAGTTGGTTCATAGAAGGTCTTTGTGTAACCACCAATCTGTCGAGTGCCATCAGTTGCGTTGAAGAACCAAGGATGATGAGGAATTGTTAGCTGTAATACAAAATCACAATCATATAAGTCAGAGGTGTGTTTGAATTGCTTGGACATTTTTGGGCAATTTGCATGGCTTTATACATCGTCTTTAACGTGTGGCTCAGTTATGTGCCCAAGAATTTCTTGTGCCTGCCAAGCTGAATATTTGAGATATAACCCCTTTCATTTGTATATACAGAGTAAGGGTATTAATAGCAGTGGATAAAAGTATATTCTGTTTATTAAATAAAAAATTTTGTATATGTTAAAAATTTTGCATATATTTGATTTACCGGGAAGCCTAAATCGTTGACAAACCATTCATCACCAATAGCGTTGCAGGCCATATCAACATCCCCGTTGAAAATATGCGTACGAACCTGAAATATCCAAGGGAAGGAAGTAGTTTATGGAAGAGATTTAAATTGCAACCACTTGTAAATATCAGATCCACATACCTTCTGTTCCACCAATGATTTGTACTGCTTGCTAAGATCTAAGTAAACGCGTTTGTAGTTCTTATAGACATCTTCATTACAAGTGGCCCAATCCTGGACACTAGTGGGAATATGCATTGCTGAACGGAAAGCGGGCTGATTGATGAACTCAATTTGCATTGTATCATCAGAACAGTCCAATACCATGCGGCTAAAAAGACCATTTGAGATGAAAACTAAATGCAGCCAAGATATCTTGTCAAAATACCCCTCAAAATTAACAGTCAGTATAACCGTGTGTGCGTGTGTCTAGTGCGCGCGTATTGTGCGTCCGGAATGACTCATCTCGTATGAGGAGATTCAAGCTTCAGTCCCAGATAGGGAAAGGCTGTAAAACTATACTTTAACTTTATAAAAACCCAAATACCCGCCTACAGACGTTTATTCAGATGGGCCAACTTTCGGAAAACCCCCGTACTAAAAAAAGTAGCTCATAATTCTTCAATGTGGTTGAGTCCTTCTGCTTCAACAGCACCACATCAGGTAAAGGCCAAAGCACAAACTATCAGTGTAAACTCACCCATTAACTGAAGAGATTTCATGTTTTGGCAGATCTCTGAACCAACTTCCTTTAGCAACCCGGTCACGGGCCATTGGTTTAGTTCGTGGTCTTTGGGCTGGTTTTGGTTGAGGGACAGAGAACCTGGAATTGAAAGATTGGAAGATTTACCTAAGGTATAACTACTCATATTAAACACATTTATCAAGATAGATCACTTTTGAGTCCATCTATTAAATGTATGACTGATTCTTTGCCAAACACTATCCCATGAGAAAACATTCTTTCGATTAGGGGTCTCCCTAGCCAATTTAGTGGTATAATTGTCTGGTACTCCACCATCGCAGGGACCATATAGATTGTAAATATTCAGACCATATGAGATGATGCTACTGGCTTGTTGAATCTAATTGCAAAAAAGTTATATATAGTGAATCAGGCTACTTAAAAACATAAGTAGATTATCACTTACAGCATTCTGACAGAGAGGATCTTTGTTCAGAGTAAACATGCAACGGCCGACTAGTTTGCCACCACAACAGTAATTTACAAGATCAGCCCAAAGGCTAAACAATTTTACTAATCTTATTGAATTAAGATTTTACCTTGAATCAAGGAGAGAGTGATAATAAGCAAAGTAGAGGAGGGAATTGTCGTTCAGGGTGTAGCTGGTAAGTCCGTTGTCAATTGCAATACCCTTAAGGGGATACGAAAACGTTATCGATTAAACATTTGAATGTAAACGCATGAAGATATTTTACATATTTTCCTATTAACTGCAACGAAATGACTAGTCAACACAGAAACTGACAGAAATGGGTGTGTTCGCGTATCGGTGAAGATGGTGGGATTTAGGGACAACCTGACGGCGCCTGAGGTACTTTCACACCATCACGATAGGCCCTCTAAGCCCCTCTATGACTCATAGCCATTACCCAATTTCCAATGGATAAAACTCTGCCCACTGCTACATCATTACTCATTTTAGCCGGTTTCTAAAAGAAAGCAGTTTGTTCTTCTTTAGTGGAGGTGCAAAATTGTGCGAATTAATACCTCCGTAAAAGCGTTCGAGACATAAAATTGGAAAAAGATCATTTTCGCCCCGTATTCCACTACGAAATTCTGAGGGGAAAAAGTAACATTTACTTTGAGTTTCATCTCCGGATGAGCAACAACACGAAGGGCCAAGGTAGGGACATAGACTCCACCATAACTTTCGCCAATAATGTAGAAATCTCGACCCTTGAATTCGGGGAATTTTTGGAAGAAGTGGACCAGAGCGAAGTAGTTATTGTCCGCAGTCTAGAATACAATAAAACTAAGTCAGTGAAGCACATTAGAGCTGTGATCACCTCGAATATAATCATAAGTATAACACACTGGATGTTCTCTCGACAATTCTTGACAGAAATAAACTCAGTATTGAATAAGACATGGTGGTTAGGAATTCCAGAGGTGGTGGGAAAGCAACTAATAAACTAAGAAGCTTGGAAAGTTACTTCCTAAGTGGGAAAAATTGATGACATTCCGCAACAGAACATTCATTCAAAGCTCAATGCTCTGAGTGGTTTAAGAAAGCTATGAATACGATTCAATCTGCAAACAAAACCTCCTATTGTTAAGTGCATTCCTTGAGTTTTACATTTACGCAATGCCTAAGTTGTTGAGTTATTAAAATAAAATCTGCCTTACAATTGGGTTATACTGCTAAGATTTTATATTTTATTCAAATATTTAAAGGAATTCAAATACCCTAAAGGTATCAATATTGAGACAGCTACGTTAAACTTTTCTAAGCTTGAAGCATCTTTTATGGTTGCCAAATTATATTAAATGCATCAAGGTGGTAAGAGAGCTTCTCAACTGATTAACGGACAGTTCCAAACTTATCCACAAAGTTAAAGATCAAACCTTGAAATTTTCCTTTTTTAATATGGGAATTTTGTGAGCGACAAGTCAAATAAGCTATAACTACGACAACAGTTGAGTGGATAAAGCAATGCCTTTATAGAGAATCGTCATTTTCTTACAATCCAAAGCGTAGGCTTGGACTGGTAGAATTGTTTAATTTGTAAAATGGGCCTTCTAATTTAAGATTACAGCTAACATTTACATGAAATCCCTTCGTCAAAGTAGACCAAAACTTGTCTTGGGGACTATAAGTGACTTTAAAATAGGCTTGACCTAAAGGCCCCCATTAACAACACTTCCTCCCCCCCTCCTCTCACGCGTATTATTCCAGTCGAGACCTATATTGAGCCTCCAATAGTTCGATAGTTTACCTGTCATGGCTTGAAAACTAGTAGGCCACCTAAAATGTTACCAATCGTCATCGATAGTTGACAAGTCTGAAACGACATACTCACACAACTTCAATTCACATAACAGCAGCTTTTATCTCACCATTCTACATACTTGATTTGTAGCCATAACGAAAACCAAGTTAAAGAGTTGAATTGACTGACGGATGAGCAACATAGCAATAGGTGACTATATTGAGTTGAAACGATATCTCTTAGACAAAGTACTTTGTTCATTTTTTCATGAAGGAAGTCGAGAAGTTAGACAAATTTAAAATCGTTGATCGGGGTGAGCGATAGATTTAGACCTCCACGTGGTGCACCCTGGGCAACGTATTCTCATACTCTCAAAAAAGTCTATAAACCGGTGGTTGACTTCACACTTCAAACTACCATCACCCCGCTGTATGTCATAATCGACCACTTCCACAGTATTCATCTTACCTTTTTCTGCCTTTATGTCTGTCTGTCTCTTTTACATCTGTGAATCTCTCTTCTGCTCCCCTCTCCACATCCTGTGACTTCGTCTGTTCCCCCCCCCCCTCTGAGGCCCGAAGTCAACTAAAGGGCTAATGATAGCTAGCAGAACACCTGCCATTTGATATAAATAAATAATCGTTAATCGATTATTTTTTGAAATATATCTGACTTATAAAATTATCAAAATATTTTCTCTAAATTTTTTGCCATTCATAAGACTTTTGAGCAAGCAATAGTGACATGGTAAATTTGCTCGATTCACTGCAAAATGCATGGATTATTACCAAGTATTTGACCAATAAACTCAAACAAAAAGAATTAGTAACGACTTTCAGTACTTTCCAGATTGCCGTCAATTATTTGCTTGTTCTTTTTCTGCACTCAAAAAAATGACTTAAAACATCCTAACCCCCATCAATTGGGGTGTGCGATAGAATTACTTCCACGTGATGCACCCTGGGCAACGTACACTCATACGGCAAAAAAGTCTATTAATCGGCAGTTGACTTCTGACTTCAAACTACCATGACCTCACTGTATGGCATAGTCGACCACTTCTACAGTACTCACCTAACCCTACTCCCTACCATTGTGTCTGCCTCTTTTACATCTGCAAATCACTCTTCGGTCCACCCTCTTGAAATTTTCTAACTTTGATGTTTCTCCCCTCTGTGAAGTTCGAAGTCAGCTAAGGGCTAATGATAAAACTATCAAAATGCATGCCATTCCAAATAAATACCCCCACCAATTTATCCAAAAAAATCCGCATCTCAGGTTGTGAACACTGTGAAATTGACAAAAATCCAGGTAATGGAATGGACAAATTAAATGACAAAGGAGTACATACCATATCGTCGTCGGTGGTAACATTGCCATCGCGAGCATACGAAAATCCTACTCCAGCTGGCGCCTCAATATAGACAACGTTTGCATACTGAAATCAAATATATTGATTTCAAATGGTATTCGTATTTTGTTAAGGCAAAAAAGTGATCCCACCCAAAACCAATAGGCTAATACGCAACGTATTCTCATACGGCAAAAAATCCATTATTCGACAGTCGAATTCTGACTTCAAACTACCATGATCCCGCTGTATGCCTTATTCGAACACTTCCACCATACTTATCCTACCTTTTCTCTGCCTTGGTGTCTGTCTGTCCGTCTGTCTCTTTTACATGTGTGAATCACTCTTCTGTCCCCCCACCTCTCCACTTTTTCTCACTTTGATGTTCCTCCTTCCCTCTGTGGAGCCCGAAGTCAGCTAAAGGGCAAATGATAAGTATCATAAAGTCCGCCATTTGAAACAAATACATATAAAAGATGGAATAGATTGTGGAGGCCAAGCAGGGTTAACGAGTTCGAGTTGGGTTATACCAATATTATGAGGTCAAAGATACCTCTTAGGCGTTGAGGCTATACTGAAGTCAGTGGACCACCCGAAAACACCCCAGACCGGCTAATATTTAAAACCCATGAAGTTTGTAATAAACATTTTTCTTGATGAGTTTTAAATTTTAGGTTTATAAAAGAGTAAAATTTATCGACATTAAGGTGAAAATAGTGGAGAAAAGTTGTACTAGATATCAGAGTTAGGGTCATAACATCGACAGCTACCATCACGTCGTTTAATTGCCTAATATTATAAAAATAGAATGCACATTTGATAAACACACCGATTAGAACATACTTTTACTGAAAATGGTACTTGAAAGATGGTAGAAGTAAACAAATTTTCTACCATTACTAATTTGGTTATTTCAAAAAATGGATGATTTAAAAGGCACCTATCCTGGTCGATTCGTCAACTTAGCAAAAAAGCGGATTGCACGAATTTACATTTATAAAAAGAATTGGTCGCATGTAAAGTCCTACTTTTAAACTATGCATATATGGCCATAAGAGAGAGAGCTGTCATTAAGACCAAAATGCTTCATTGTTTAGTTAAAATTTGGTTTGTTAACACCCTTTATTTAAACCTAGTCAGATACGTAAACAGACAAAATAAATTTAGAACTTGAAGTTATAAACATTACCTCGTTCCAGGAATAAGGATTCAATTTGAGTGACCTTGACGATTCAACCTGCAGTTGAAATGAAATAAAGATGAAAAAACATAAATTACATGGATAGCTCAAAAGATAGACATTAGAACTTCAGACTGTGAGTAAGTAAAAAAAGTATTTTGATTAAGTCGATTAGAAATTATATAAATATTGTGAAATTCTAATTCATCGCTTTCAAGATGAATTAAAAGAAGTTTATTGAAAGCCATGCTTGGGGTGATTAATTCATATTTCTTGAAGAAGTATAATTTAAAACGCACAACCAAATTCAAGAACCTATTAAATAAAGTGTGAATCTTTACTCTGAACACTCACTCTATTACTATCCCTAACATATATCGACAACTTACAAGAAGGGGTCCATTTTCAGTGAAAAAGCCCATTAGTGACGAACAACCCGGTCCACCATTGAGCCAGAGAACCAGAGGTGCGGTATCCGAATTATTCTTTGCTTCCGCAAATACGTAGTGAAGTTGAATATTACTGTTTGAGCCTTCCAAATAACCCGAATATATTTCAAAGGTGAGTTTCCCAGAGAAACCAGGTATAGAAGCCACTTTGTCAGCACTCGGCCGACTGCTCACAACAATTAGAGCAAAAAGAAGTAATGAAATCCGTTTCATCGGCCTGAAAATTCACGAAAAAAATTATTTAAAAGAAATAGAACCAAATAAAATGGTGTCAAATCAAAATCAATCAACCACCTATAGACTTCAGCAAACACTGTGCAGACACGGTCAGTCAAATTTTACACTAAGCTATAACCTTGAACAACCAATAGCTGATTGGACACTTTTTATTGGCCCCTCACTTGAACCACAGTATGACCAATTTTATAACGTTAGCACTACTTACAAACGCTAGTAGCGCGACAGATTTTTTCTCACTAATTTGAAAGTCAAAGCTTTAAGCGCTTGCTAAACCAAAGGCAAATATTGAAATTAAGGAGACTAACATTTCAGCTATTTCTTTTTAAAAAAGGATCATTTACATTTCTGTTGATTCTTAAGTGGACGCTTAAGAGATTATTTCCTGTAAAATCTATTTTTCTATTCGGAAGCAATTCTTTCCCGTTTGACCAAATCTTGCATTTCTATTATGTCAAATTCAAGGAATAGAACTCTGATATCAACCACAATGTGTGGTTAACTATGCTTTTAAGCATCATTTAATATAATGAATCATATTACCTAAAAAACTAATCAAGGTTGGTCATGGGAAAAGAATGGCAAATAAATTCGTAGATGTAAGTATAAAATTAAACATTACGTCGAATCGTAGTATTTTCTCTTTTGGCTATCAAATTTCCAGATTTGATTTCAAATTCAAGTTAATACCGCTGAAAAGAGATTAGACAGTTACGATCTAGATTTAGATGCCCATTAATAACAAGTCTCATTGTATATATTCGATTAACTCGTTCCTTTACAGGTGAGAAGTCTACAAACGGAGTATTTGTTTTGCAAAGAGGTAAAAATTTCACTTTGGTTGTTACTATCAATATGCAAGTCTCCACTTTGCTGCCATCTTGACAGCTACATGTAACGTCAAGTTTCTTTTCAGTTCAGTGGTGTTTACGTCTCGATGGAAGCTGACTTTTACATGTGGTTTTTATTTAGAAAGCAAGGCGCCATAACTAAGCATTTAATGTAGTGTTCAAGTAGGTTATTTGTACACGAATGGAAAGTTGGCTAAGATCTTATTTCCAACATAAAGTAGCAAGGACTCAATAAATAATCATTACTATTACTGTGATTTATCACTTAAAATCACTATATACACTTTTGACTTATTGCAACACCTGTTTCACCTACGCCACACATGCATTATCTGGTACAAAAATTAGTAAGAAAACTTCCAAGTGTGACTGCTCACCCTGCCTTTTGCTCGTATTCAAAGTCTAAACGAAGATTTCGATTGAGTGAACAACCGATGGCATGCTTTACTGTATTGGAGGCCTCAAACAATCGCACAAAGGGAGTCCCATTCTCTTTCATATAGACGTCTAAGCAATTTGTTAGGGTTTGAAAACCAGCCTCTAGTGTTCTGCAAGATGAGGGTCGTCATTTGGACGACTAGAATATGCAGACAATATGCGTTTGGGTTTGCAGAAAAACTCATTCGGAGGTGCGAATTGCTACAAGACAAATTGATTTGAAAAAGTGAGCGAAATAGAGCCTCGATGTACAGAGAGTCAGACCTAGAGAAATTGTATTTTCGGTTAGCTTAAAGAAGAAGTTATTAATTGAGTTCCTGCATATATTAACCAGACTATCATTTGAATGGTAAAGAGCTGGCAGATGATGAAGAAGAAGAAATAATTATCATAAAGATCCAGTGACAGTTGGTAATGCGAAGGTCAGATTGTCAGTAGTAGGTGCCTTTGAATGCTCGTCTAGCCTGTTTTTTCTTTCAGTTAGTCTACTAGTGCCTTTTGCGATGTTGTTGATACGAAATGAGAGGCTGTTGAGAAGACGCCTCAGCAGACGGTGTTGGCTCTCTACAGCAGACAACAAATGAGTTGCAGTGATAACAGAGGACTCGCCACAAAATTGTGGAATAGTTGGCCTATCATCGAGACAAGTCTGCTCGATGATGGCAATACGATGGCAATAAACATTGATTGAATTCCCAGTTGTGGAAAGTATCGAAATCTAAGCCTTTGTTCAAAGAGCCTGCAAAAACAGCTTAATGCAGATGTGATGGAGGCGTTCGTTGAAAAAGCGGGTGCAGTTTGAATGCTGTGACTTGATAAGGAATCTATCCTCCTATTCAGTAATACTAACCACAATTAGATGGTATTAGAAAATTGAAAATGAACTGTCAATGTTATTGACTCAGTAACCACGTTTTAGATGAGAAGACACTGTTCAGTAGACGATAATCGAAACACAGACCTTCCGCAAACCAGTGGAACTTCCTGCTCAGTGGTTGGCTGTTGCAGGAACAATGTAAAAGGTGGTGGTGAATGAGTCATTTGATATCACGTCATCAGAATTTCAATACAGAATAAAAACAAGGAATACATAAAGACCTTATGTGAATAGAGATTAAAATATAAATTACCTGATGATTTCAGCGTCCATTTTTGATAAAGGGCTTGAATCGCGATTTTCAGTAAAAATAATGTCTAGGTGATTTCTCTCAGACCTTTATTTAGTCACCCTCTATGATTAAAATTTTGGGCTTTTTGCAAAGTTATGGATAGTGTTGATTCACGTTAGGTATATCTATTGCACTCATTGGAACACGGACATCTGAAATGATGAAACCATTGCTTAAATCTTATGCAATCTTTGTCGATCTCGTGCAAAGTAATCCATTTTGGGTGTATTTCACGTATTCATTTAAAAAAGGTATATGGAAACGTTCCGTGAATTCTGCGAACTAAAAGTGACTCAGAACTGCAATCAACCTCAACCGAAATGATCTGATAATGAAGATTTCGAGTGGTCTATGTAAAAATATCCCTGATATGATCACCTGCACAAAGTCGTAAAATGCCGCAAAATGAATTCCGTTTTGAAGTAATTCCTCTTTGTTTTAACCATTGCGAAGATATATTTATTTCAAATGGTAGGCGTTTTGATAGTTATCATTAGCCCTTTAGCTAACTCCGGGCTTTGTGAAGGGGAGGTACATCAAAGTCACAAAAAGTCGAGATGGGGGGGGGAGCAGACGAGTGTCTCAAGGATGTAAAATAGACAGACAGACACAAAGGCAGAGAAAATGTAAGATGAGTACTGTGAAAGTGGTCGAACACGATACACAGTAGAGTTATTGTAGTTTGAAGTCAACTGCCGGTTTAACGGTGTTTTTGCCGTATGAGTGTACGTTGCCCAAGATGCTCAACATGGAGGTAAATCTCTCGGACACTCCACTAGTGCGAAGATAGAGATTGTCAAAATATACTTGGGATTTTGGCAAGACTATTGTTTCGCCTCGTCAACGTGCCCTCTCTTGTCAAAACAAGAGAGTAGATAGAGGGCAAAAACCTTCCCACGTAATTTGAGGATATGAAAGTTGCAAAGGGGGGTTAACAGTCTCCTTGAGGAAACGGACAACGAAATGTTTACCCGGTACAGGCAAGGGTACTGGCTTTTTGAAAACCCTATTAGGCATAGTTTCTACTAAATATTTTGTGTACTGTTGTATTGAAAGTTATTCATTTCATTGCAAACGAAAGATATCGAGATTTAAATGTTCCATTTCTAAATTCCCTTGGCATCTGGTTTATTAAAAATTTTCGAGCGAACCATGTTTATGAAGAACTGAGCTTCTAATAAAATATAAAGCAGTAATTAGATTAGAACTACTCAGACTATGCAAAAAAATATCGATTATGCTGTCAAGTAATAGTTTGCTTACAAAGTAGAGAACTTTGAATTATGATTTATTCTTTTAACAAATATTAGATTAAAGTAGCATAAGCAAAATGTTTCTATTCGTGAGACTAATAAATTAATCCATGCATTTATTGGCATTGCTACGAGGATGAAAAAATTTATTTATTTATTTATTTTTTTCAAATGGCAGGCGTTTTGATAGCTATCATTAGCCATTTAGCTGACTTCGGGCTTCACAGAGGGAAGGTTAATCAGAGTAGCAGAAAGTCGAGGGGTGGGAACAGAAGAGCGATTCACTGATGTAAAAGAGGCAGACAGACACCAAGGNTATGTAAGAAGGTGATTTCCATAAAAATGAGTGGATACCTTATTAGTTCGCTTTGATTTTCATTAACCGTGATTTGGTTTCGATTTAACCTACCTCATTATGTATTCAAGATTCAGAATAGTTGATTATCACAAGAGTGCTAACATCTGAAATTTAGTATGTTTAAAGGGTGAGATATCACCCCACTCCCCATTTCATTTCTATTCAATGGTTTGCCCGGCGGTAATTCACAGCCCTGTCTTCTCCTTTCACTCGGCCAAATTTGCGTTAGATACAATTTGCTCCAAATTTTTTTTCCGAGTTAACCAAGCAGTTTGCCACAAGTGTTAATTTCCTATTTGTCGCAGGCAATTAGCACGGTTTTTTTCGCGTGCTAACGAGTTTAAATGAATCATGCCTCAAATTGCATCCCTTTGCCTTTTGACAACGTCTGGGAAAGGAGTTCTCCACGAAAAGCGACTCAATTGAAGGCAGATTTATGGTGCTTGGAAGGTGAGTCAGGGGGGGGGGGGTAAAGTCCTGCTTATTTGGGATTTAACGAAACTTGTTAATGTCAAGGTCTGCATTCAATTGAATCAATGATCAACACTTTCAAAAATAAATTACCAAACTCAATTATGCAACGTAGTCCTATAACGTGTTCGTTTCTATTCACTTTCATAACCATTAAGGAGCAAGTATCAGTGGTGAGATCAGTCATCATGAATTAAAAAATAAAGTTGCAATAATTACTGAACGTTATGGATAAGAATTTGCTTAATTTCAGAGACTGAATTAAGATATTTTAATTTCGCAAGCGAAATAAGCTATAAATGAGCATTATTAAAAGTGAACAAACAATTTAATTATGCAGATAGAAAATCAATGATTGTTTCATGATAAAATGTGATTGGAGTGAATTAGGTAAATCAACTAAGTATCCTCGAATCACGCTTTAATTAAAGTTGAAAACTCTCAAGAAAAGGACTTGAAGGAACTCAAGGGCGATTTTATTACTCTTGTTTTAAGAAGTTGACGATGACTAATCTTCTAAGAGAAAAGTATCGTTGTTCTTCTCAAGAAAAAAAGTGAAAATTAAAACAAGTAAAAAAGCCAATTAGGTTAAGAATAGGCTTCACAAGAACTTTAATGGATACTTAAATTTCGCTAATGGCAAAAATTTTGCACGTAAAATTGCCATTGGCGCCTACTGCAGAAATTAGATTTTACGCATTCCTTGTAGGACGGTCTTGAAAGCTGATTTTGTTCTGTTCATTAACTGAGCTTTTGTAATTCTGACATCTCAATAAGTGTCCAAATACATTTACAATAATCTATTGGATCAAGATCTCAAGTTAGAGGGGGGGGGGGGGCGTTTAGAGGTCAGAAATTGAGAATGGTGATATGGTAGGGAGCTGAATTCTGCTCCCACCAAACCTTTATTTATTTATATCAAGTGGAAAACTTTATGATAATTATCATTAGCTCTTTAGTTGGCTTCGAGCTTCAAAGAAAGGGGAGGCACAACAAAGGCACAAAAAGAAGTCAAGAAAGGAAACAGAAGAGTCATTTATAAATGCTAAAGAGACAGACACAAAGGTAGGGAAAATTGTGAGTTCTGTGAAAGCGACCCAATATGTCATACAGTCAGATCACGGTAGTTTGGAGTCAACTGCCGGTTTATAAATCATTTTGCTGTATGTGCATTCGTTGCTTAGGATGCACTACGTGTAGTTAAGTCCATCATGAACCACCCTACCCCCCCCCCCTTCCTCCCTCCCACCATACATGGATCCTTCTATTACCAATCCTCATTAGTTACCTAGGGCTTAGTTGCTACAATTAAGCTTCTCTTTACAAAAATGTGGAGGGAACTATTATGCAAACCCCGATAGAGTAAATTTGTTGTACTATCATGTTCACATCAGAGAGTCTCAGTCTTGATAAAACCCCTTGCTTTCTCTTGGAGCAGTCCATTTCATCCCGTCTCTTCCGCAGTGTTCATGCAACATAAAGCCATGACCATAATCGATTTATTCATTTTTTTGATAGTCGACACCAATGAACATGCCAAAAGTAAGTCTCTTCAAGGACTAAGGTGGGTTCTAGTCAGGAAAACAATTACTATCTAGGGAAACTTATGTTTTTATGAGTAATTTGGTTTGCATGTTTGTATGCTTCAAAATTGCAGTTTGAAAAAAAAACATTTGGAAAGCAACTTTTTCTAAATACCTTCTACGAAAAGACAGATATTGACACCTAACAATGCTTCTTAAAGTTGTTACAAGAAAAATACAATGAACTAAACTTGTCGCATTGGGGTGAAGTGAATATCCAATTTCATCCGCCAAATTCCCTCTATTTTTTACCCTAGAAATGGCGTGTTAACGCAGTAGACTGGAAAAGACCTGCAACAAATTTCCATTAACATTCATGCCCAATTTGGGACACTATTGTAACAATAATATAATTTAAGTGGAATAAATGCTCCTCTACATTGTTGGACACTTGGGACTACCTTGAATAATGTCACACCCCCAGGGACTTCCAAAGTGGGGAATTAGAAAATTTGAGGAAATATAATTTACGTTGTGGACAACCCGCTTTAAATAAGGGCATTATCTCATTATGTCCCCCTCCCCCTAATTGATTGAATTAGACCATTATTGTCAAGTGTTCGAAAACTGTTTTATGAATAAAACAGTTAGTAAGCAACTATCGGTGATAGCCCAGTTGATTAACTATACTTTGCGATACACTTCTATGTGTACTAGTTGACTAAAAGATTTGGGTTGTCAGACAGATTTGATTGATTGCCAAGGCAACATTTATCAGATCGCTACTCCCCCCCCC